TCCCTCCTTTTTGAATAGAGTCTATTAGGACTTGATTGAGTTGGAACAATCCAGCTTCTTTGAGAGAATGGAAATGCACAGTTTTTTAAATGTATTGTTTAATTGGTAAAAACATGAGTAATCCACAAATGTTCTTTCCATAAAAATAAATAAATAAATATTGCAGATAAGGACATTCCCTTTCCCCAGTATTTAAAATTACGAGCCTCTCCCTGTCTCATCAGTTTGTTGTATGTCCATGCAGCGCCTTTTCTGTGCACGTACACACACAGAAATGCACTATAGAAAAGACGTAGATCTCTTTTGGGTGGAAGAGTGTATGTTTTTAATAAATGACCTCATTATACACATAACGCTTTAAACCTTGTCTTCCCTAGTAGAAAATGAATCTTGGGGGAAAATCCATATTAGTTCATAGAGATTTAACTCAGGTTTTAAACAACTGTGATACATCTTCGACTATGGATGTATTACAGTTTATTAGCCATCTACCTACTGATGGATATTTGTGTTGTTCCTGATGTTTTCCTTACAGATAATACGTCAATCAACTCCTTCATAGCCTTGCATGGACTTGCCTTGTGCTCGTCCTTTCTTACCTCTCACGACTTGATAATTGTCTTAAAATGCTAGGGACCCACCAAATTTAATCCACTAAACTTAAGGGATATCATGCAATGACCAGTGATGTCTCTTAAAGTATCATTGATATTCTTGATATCAGTGATATCCCGTAAAATATCGACTTTTCCCTCGGTCCATCCTAAAGGTAGGGCCCGTGGTGGCTCAGTGGCAGAATTCTCGCCTCCCATGTGGGAGACCCAGGTTTGATCCCCAGCCAGTGCTCCTCATGCACAGCTTTCACCCGTCTGTCAGTGGAGGCCTGCCGGTTGCTATGATGCTGAACAGGTTTCAGTGGAGCTTCTAGGCTAAGATGGACTAGGAAGAAAGGCCTGGTGGTCTACTTCTGAAAAAATCAGCCAGTGGAAATGCTGTGGATCACAACTGATGTAACTGATTGTGGGGATGGCGCAGGACTGGGCACATTGTGCATGGGGTCACCATGAGTCTGGGGCTGACTTGGTGGCAGCTAACAGCATTCTAATGGTTAATACAGTGAGTTAGCCAAATATGCCTAAGTTGGACCTGTTGAGAGCGGCCCTTAATGTTTGAAATAAGATTTCTCTATCCTTCTGCTCACCTATCTTCAGAGCTACTTTTGTCCCAGTGGTGTGGCTAATGGAGCAGGGCAGAGTGACAATGCTCCTTCATAGACAAAGTCCACAACTCTTCCCCTCTGTTAACCATCAGAGTTTTGTCAAGTATATGATGGGAGAAGACTTTGGGATGATGGTGATATATCTTCTCTTAGGCCTGCTGTTGTTGTTGTTGGGTGCTGCTGAGTCGGTCGTGACTCACAGTGACCCCATGTGACAGAGTAGAACTACCCCATAGGGTTTTCTTGGCTGTAGTCTCTACAGAAGCAGATTGCCAGGTCTTTCTCCTACCGAGCCACTGGGTAGGTTCAAGCCACCGGCCTTTTGGTTAACAGCTGAGCACTTAACCACTGCACCACCAGGACTCCTTGGTCTGTTATTAGGACTGGTCACTTGTGATCCCTTGATAGGGAAACATCACTGGAGAGTAATAAGAGGTAGTTAGGTCTCATTCACGGTTGAGTGATTCACCCATAAATACTTCTTAGCAGCCCAGGAAGGAGTTGTAGTGATGATAAGGATTATTTCTGTAGCAAGGTAATGCTACCCTGATACCTGGTACAAGAATACACAAATCCTTTTGATCTTTTCTTAGGTCTTTAACAAAAGAGTGGGCACAGAATGTACAGGGGTGAATATGTTGGCTGGGATCAGAAGAATACGAAAATCTAAACAAGGGTAGAACATCTTACTGTTTTCTAGTGTTGACCTTGCAGAGGGGGCCCTTTAGATCACAGCTGCCATTGATAACAGACATGCCTTGTTTTGGAATGTAAGACAAGTAGGGAACATTTCCTGGACATATCTCCAACCATTCTTCACGGTAACTTCTTGGTATAGTTTTTGCATTCTTGTCAAGCCCACTGTTTTGTTTAACTCTCACAGTACTGACCTGGGCAGGGTGAGCGATACTGTGGATTAGCGAGGTCATGCCCAAACGCAGCCCACGTCTGCCTTCACGTCCACCTGTGCTGCCTTCTAAAAGAAGTCGTACATTCAGACAGAGATGCATGGTTATGCACAAATAAAAGGAAGCCTCAGGAACTTTGAGGTGTGCTGTGAAATTCCAGTCTACTCATCCATTGCCATTTGACCGTCTTTAGGGCTGTGAGCTTACTCTGAGTTCACATAGAAGGTTCAGGTACTGTACGTCAACCTGTGTGCTTTGTCTTTGCCCCCTTCTCGGTCTGTGAAGTGAAGCAGGTCTCAGTTGCATTGGGCTCAATGAGGCCCAGGAGCACTTGTCTCTGCTGCTTGTCTGTTACAAACGGCTGTTTTGTGTGTCTGCTCTTCCTCTCAGTGAGTTCCTTGCCAGCTCTGTCTGTTTGCAGGAATCAAGCCTTATTTTGTACATCCCGGACTTGCTTGCTCATCAGAATCCCCTGAAGCCCTGTGATTTCTGTGATCAGGCCAGCTTAGGAAACAATTTTAGCTGATTCATTAGATCTAGCTCTTGGACTTTAATCGTTGAGTCCAGTCAAAAACCAAGGGCCATAGTGTGTTCCTGAAAGTGCTTGGTGTGAATGAACCAAAGCAACAAAGAGGTTAGGAGGCTAGCATTCTCTTCCTGAGCATTTACTGAAACCAGAAAAGGTCTAGTAAGTGTGGTGAATAGTAATATTGATTCACTCTTTCAACAACTCTTGTGTGCACACTGTATGCCGGGCATTTGTGCTCTGTGCTGGGGATGTACAGCGGGAGGCAGGCAGCTAACATTTATTGAAGTGCTTGTCATAGGATGGACGCCATGCTCACTGCTTTACACACCTTCTCTCCTTTAAACTTCACAACTCTCCTGTCAGGTAGGTATTTTTGCCTTCATTTTAAAATCAAGAGACTGATATTTCAAAAGTTTGAATGATCTAGTAAGAGCCAGATCCAGAATTCCTACCAAGTCTCCCCTACTCCACAGCCCGTGTTCCTTACAACACTGTTTTTCTGCTTGACCACGATGTGTGTATTTCTTCACTCTGCGCTTTCTATTCAAACAGAGGTTCTCAACCCTAGTTGCTCATTAGAATTGCTTGAGGGGCTTTTACAAAACATCTTTGCCCAAGCTTCACTCCAAATTTAGCAACATAACCTGATGGGGCCTGAATATTAGTATTTTTTTAAGCTCTGTGAGTGATGCTAATTTGCAGCCAGGGTCAAGCATCATTAATCAACATCAAATAGATGCTGCATCTGCTAGCCTGACCTTTTCCAGCATTCTCCTGGCTTAGATCATTTGGCTGATTAAACTTTTGAAGGTTCCAAATCATTGTTCTTCCCTTTTCAATGAACTGAATGTTATAAAAATAGCGAATAGTTAAAAAAATATAAGTTTCCCCAAAGAGGAACATGATAACAGACCCATCTCAACCAGGGATTTAGGCACTTGGAGATGGATTTTTCATAGGAAGTGTAGTCAAGAGGGAGGGTTGCAGAATAATCTGGGGTCTAGAGCACCCTCGAGCTCCTGGTTTCTTTTCTGGTGAAACTCAGAGAACCTGAAGGCACTGTCTTCTAATCTGATGGGGGAAGAAAACCTTGGAATATGTGATGGTTCAAGAAAGTTTCTCTTGCTCTTGGTGAGCACAACCCACAAATCAACTTTATTTTTTTTCCTTTGGTCAAAATCAAAGCAAAAGAAAAGCTAACTAGTTTGGATCTTCCTAATTTGGATGTCCCAAGGAAAAAAATACCATGAAGTGTAGAACAGTAGATGCTAAGTTTCTTAAAGCTGCTCAAAAGCCTGTAACAGTGGTTAAACATTGCGTGTGTGTATTCTTACATGAACTTTCAAAGAATTCTGTATTTCAGACTTTCAACACTTTGTTAAACATCTGTTATGTGGTTAGTAATATGTTGCCTTCATGAAGATGGCAGTCTAACTAATTTACTCTTCACTAAGTAAGTTTGGTTTTGCCTTGTCTTCAACCAGTGAGTTGGGATTGTCTTCTGAGAGAGGTCCTTCTCAAAGCAGTGGCATCAAGAAGTAAGAGTAAATGGTTAGTTGGAGTAATCACAAAATTGTGGTCCATAAAATCCTTATCCCTAGAGAAGGAGAGACAGGGAAAGTAAGCTGAGGGTGACTTTATTTCAACAATTTTGAGGCATTTCTATGAGAAGAGAGACCAGGGCCACCAGGGGAGGAAAGACTTTTTTAAACCCTTGGGTCTATAGACAGAGAAAGAAAGTACCGTGAATGACATCCCATTGGGATAAGTAGCTTAAGATGAGTCTTATCTCTGCGTTTTAAAAGCCAGACGTCAATGGTGATTGAACATAAAGTTCCACTGGGATCCAGAGTCCTTTTATGCCTAATAGTACAATAGGTCATTATAAAAGAGTGAACCAACAGAGCAAAGGAAAACATGAAAAATGGCCTCCTTTTTTACATTTCCACATAGGTGATCTCCATACCAGGAGATGAACTTGAACTTGGTTGGGCGGGAGACGGACCTGGTTGGGCGGGAGACTGGAGCCCCTCAGAGAATTTGGGATTCTTCCATTTTTACTGGGAGGGTTGGCAGGTATAACATGTGTTGTGATGTGAGTCCATGAGAGCCTCCGGGCTTGTAGCTCCCCGCCTCTCTGTGTGGTGGGGAGTCAGTCGCTCACTCCGAAGCACTCAACTGATCTCTGTGTGTGGCTTACCCATGAGCAGTGGCTTGGAAGTGTCAAAGCATGAGAAGCATGCCGTGGAACAGCATGCGCTGCCTTCATTTTCTAACATGGTTCTGCATGAAAACCCTCGGATCAGCCTGCCCCCAAGCTCAGGGACTTCTTCTTTCCCTACAGAACTCCCTGAAGGCTTCCAACCGGAAGAAGAAGAGAACAAGCTTCAAAAGAAAAGCCAGTAAAAGAGGAACCGAAGTAAGTGTTTCCGGGTTATGTCCCAAGGGAACCCAACCTCCTTTCCCAGCCTACTCTGCCCTACATGATATATGATATGGCCCAAGCTTATTTTTCTGATGGAGCTCCTACCACGTTTCTCCTTCACTACTCTCTGGCACACTGGTATTCTTAAAAATATCCACCTTATGCTACCTCACAGCATCTGCACGTCCCTGGAACTATTGTCCCAAGGATAATGATGATGAAGATGATACTAGCTAACATTTCCTGAATGCTTAGAGTGTAGAGAGTGAAATCAAAATCAAAAGCATGACTTTATTCTCAGGTGCAAATTATAGTTTGAGATACTTTTTTTCCCAAGCTTAATCTGGATGGTCCTGTTAACAGTAAGCATTATCGAACAAGATGTAGGGATTTTTTGCGGGGTGGTGTTGGTGGTTCCCAACTTCTTGGCTTGGGGGCTACCTTTTAAGCCTTATGAGTATATCTCAACTGTGCTGCTTTCTTCCTTCAGCAGGAAAACAAAGGTCGCCCTTTTGTGATAAAACCTATCTCTTCTCCTCTCATGAAACCCTTGCTTGTGTTTGTAAACCCCAAGAGTGGAGGCAACCAGGTGAGTCATGTTTCATGGGTTCAACTTAGAAGGTTCAATGAGTTCTCAAAAACACAATTTCCAGCTGCAGTTAAAATAGCTCCACTAGCTCCCCAAGTGTTGGAAGACAACGAGTTCCTCCAGGACTGGGTGATTGTTAATCCATTCGGGTACAGCCTTATACGTTACCGGTTAACCCGTTGCCATCGAGTTGATTCCAATTCATAGCAACCCTGTAGTACAGAGTAGGATTGCCCTATAGAGTTTCCAAGGAGCGGCTGGTGGATTCCAACTGCTGACCTTTTGATTAGCAGCAGCCGGGCTCTTAACCACTGTGCCACCAGGGCTGCTTACATATCACAAGGCTAGGGAAAATGTAGAGGTTCTATGATTTATCCTCCTGTCTTCAGATAAGACTGTAATGGAGAACTCCACCCACCCAACTGCTGACATTTTCCTTTCAGATTTTCAAGAAAGGCCATTCCAGAATCTTTTAAAAACGATTCAGGGTTTCCCAGATCTTATGGTCAGGAAGCCCTTTACCAACTTACCATTTTTCTTCCTGTTGTAATTTAGACCCAACCACTTTTATCCTTCTCATCAGTAACTATAATCATTAACAGCAGACAACACCCACACTATTGAAAATACCATTTTTCAAAGCTTTCGTTTAGTTCTTGCCCAGATCCTATAGTTGAGTAATATTAGCCCCATTTGAGGATCAGTCAACAACCTCAGTAAAGTTTCGCTTAGTGACTTAACTGAAGTGACACCCCTTTCCCTTTACCTAATTCTCTTCCCGCTCTCCGAGGCTTCTTATCAATACCCTTCTGTGGGCTTTGGTTTTCTTTTTGTTGTTTTCGTGTGAGTTTGGACGATAAAATACTTTCTCTGGCCATCAAGTTGAGTGCCCATTTTCGGTCTTGGGACCAGATTCCTTGAGGTTTCACACTGCACAATTAATGATTTGATACACCGTAGTCAGCAGATATATAGAGGAGGAATCATATAATTAGGACTGACCCAATATTCCAAGAGGCTCTTATTGCTAAAGATAACAGGCATTTTCCAGAAGGCATTGATTACAATAAAGCTTTTTGTATTAGAGATTATAATTTGAAGAAAGTAGTATTCCTCCTCTCCTCCCTTTCTTCAAAATCCTTAATAACTTGCTGTATTTAAAATTCTGTATTGACATTGTAGACAACAGGGAAGAGATACGTGTTGTGAGCATAGAACGGGTATACTGAAGCATCCTGCATTTTGTTGAGTTGTTAAGTGACAATCTTCATATTGTACCTATGGCAATCTAAGGCACAGTCACAACAGGGGGGTCTGGGGAGGGGTTTCTCAGGAGTGAGCTTCCATTTTCTTTGAACCATTCCCCTCCCCACCCCTTGGTTTGATCTCCCTCATCACCCACAGCCTTGCCAGGGTAGGGGTATGGCTGGCACCATGGATCAGAGCATAGCTAATGTAATGGAGGCCATGATTTTGGCCGCTTGAGCACCACAGGTTAATTAACGCCATGTTTATTTTATCATCACAGTTACTGTAGGAAATGCCTTCATTTAACCATTATAAGCTTTTTTCTAGTGCCCGTGATGTGCAAGGCAAACAGAAGCTGGTGGATAATCCCTGCCTTTAAGGAGCTGAGAATCCAGCTAAGATACAGCCTGTTTCAGTCTCTGTCAATCACCAGGGTTTGCAATTGCCAGCAAAAGACCACACACATGCTCTGTCAGTGCATGGGAAATGCTTTACTCACACAGAGAGGAAACAGTGAGATCAGCTTCACTAGTGGGCCCTGGTCTCCCACGGCCAGTAGGCTCATCCTGCACATGGCTGGTGCTGGACAAATGGTCTAAGTCTACCCCTCTTGTACTGTAGTCAAGGGAGATCTCGTCCTGTCCCCTCTGGGAATACATATAGAAGTGGGGTTGACCAGGTACTGTATGGTGCCCATGCATGTGCAAGGGACAGAGAAAGTTGCAGTGCGCCCAGAACAGGGGGGAAAGCTCCCCTGATAAGGAGAAAGACTGAGAGAGAGAAGGAGACCCAATTCTTGCCTTATCAGAGAACGTCCTGGGCCAAGGCCTTAGGCAGCCTGGACGGGAGGCGTAGAGGCAGACCGTTCCCCCAACAGTCTCTGTACATAAATAAGGACATCCACATTTCAAAAATGCCCAGTTATTAGAAACAAGAGACATAAATGACTTTTTTTCATTTTATGTATTGTGGCTTGTGAATGTATTGCCCTAATGATGTTATTTCTGGGTCAAAAAAAGCATATAACATGACTTTAAATTTCTTTATGCTTTCTCTATAAAATTGAATTTTTAACTAAGCCTAAGAAATATGAAGAACATTGTTTCTAAGCACAATATAAAGTGCAGAGCAAGCTGTACAGAAATTTGAACACTCGTACAATTAAGAGCCATTGCCGTCAAGTCAGTTCCGACTCATAGCAACCCTATAGGATAGAGTAGAACTGCCCCATAGGCTTTCCAAGGCTTTAATCTTTATGGAAGGGGTTAAACGCTCAGCTGCTAACCAAAAGATCGGCGGTTCAAACCCGTCAGGTGCTTCGTGGGAGAAGGATGTGGCAGTCTGCTTCCATAAAGATTTCAGCCTTGGAAACCCTATGGGGCAGTTCTACTCTGTCCTATAGGATTGGTATAAGTCAGCATCGACTCAGTGGCAATGGGTAATCTTTACTGAAAATTACTGCCACATCTTTCTCCCTTGCAGTGTCGGGTGGGTTCGAACTGCTGACCTTTCAGTTAGCAGCCGAGTGCTTAGCCACTGCGTCACCCGGGTTCTTTCCATGTGCAGTTAGAATCATGCAGCCTAACCTCCAGCTGCCTCCCCAACCTGGGCCTCTCTTTCCAGTCTTGAAGAGGGTCAGCTTGGTTCCCTGATGGCAGGAGTGGGGAAGGGCCGGTGACTCCGAGCTCAGCTCACTGGCTCTCCCCAAGCCAGCCCCGCCCTGACCAGTAGCAGCGGTGACCCACAGCCCTCTGCATGAGGGGAGAGTCAGTCCTACAGTGGGGAGTTAGAGCACAGATCCAGGGGTCCCCACCTGGAAAAACAGAACAAGGGAAAGGGAGTGTATCTTTCCTCAGCTCTTTTGAGTCCTGTTTCCTCTATATTTACTGTCCCCCACGCCCCACTTTACCCTGTGACCCAAATGAGCCGTGTTTGCGACAAAGGAAAAGGTGGCAGGGAAACAAGGCACGGGAACCACGGGAGGATGAGACTGAGGGCACCACACCCCTCCTCATCTGGAGTTTCCCTTTCTGGAGCTTTCTCTGTCAAAGCTTACAGAATACAGTAAAACCTTTGAAAGCTGGAATGTGTGTAAGTCAGGAACCAGTCAGAGAAGGAAAACTGAAATATTTCCCACAAATAGACAGCCACATGTCTGTCAGTTTGTTGCACTGTGGTGACTTGCATGTCGCTGTCATACTGAAAGCTTTGCCACCGGTATTTCAACTACCAGCAGGGTCACCCTTGGTGGACAGGTTTCAGCTGAGCTTCCAGACTAAGACAGACTAGGAAGAAAGACCTGGAAGTCTGCTTCTGCAAAAATTGGCCAGGGAAAACCTTATGAATAGCAGCAGAACATTGTCTGATATAGTGCGAGAAGATGAGCCCCTCAGATTGGAAGGCACTCAAAATACTTCTGGGGAAAAGCTGCCTTCTCAAAGTAGAGTCGACCTTAATGACGTGGATGGAGTCAAGCTTTCTTCATTTGCTGATGTGGCGTGACTCAAGATGAGAAGAAACAGCTACAAACATCCATTAATAGTCAGAACATGGAATGTGTGAAGTATGAATCTAGGAAAACTGGAAGTTGTCAAAAATGAAACGGAATGCATAAACATTGATATCCTATGTATTAGTGAGCTGAAATGGTATTGACCATTTTAAATCAGACAATCATATGGTCTACTATGCCAGGAATGACAAATTGAAGAGGAATGGCAACACGTTCATCATCAAAAAGAACATTTCAAGATATATCCTGAAGTACAATGCTGTCAGTGATAGGATGATGTCAGTGACAGGCCTGCAAGAAAGACCAGTTAATACGACCATTATTCAAATTTACACACCAACCACTAAGGCCAAAGAGGAAGAAATTAAAGATTTTTACCAACTTCTGCAGTCTGAAATTGATCAAACATGCAGTCAAGATTCATTGATAATTACAGGTGATAGGAATGCAAAAGTTGGAAACAAAGAAGAAGGATTGGTGGTTGGAAAATATGGCCTTAGTGATAGAAATGATGCCAGAGATTGCATGATAGAATTTTGCAAGACCAACGACTTCATTGCAGATACTGTTTTTCAGCAGCATAAATGGCGACTATACACGTGGACCTCACCAGATGAAATACATAGGAATCAAATTGACTACGTCTGTAGAAAGAGACGATGGAAAAGCTCAATGTCATCAGTCAGAACAAGGCCAGGGGCCAACTGCGGAACGGGCCATCAACTGCTCATATGCAAGTTCAAGTTGAAGATGAAGAAAACTAGAGCAAGTTCCCAAGAGCCAAAGTATGACCTTGAATATATCGCACCTGAGTTTAGAGACGATGTCAAGAATAGATTTGACACATTGAACACTGATGATCGAAGACCAGAAGAGTTGTGAAATGACATCAAGGACATCATACATGAAGAAAGCAAAAGGTCATTAAAAAGACAGGAAAGAAAGAAAAGAGCAAAATGGATGTTAGAAGAGACTCTGAAACTTGCTGTTGAATGTAGAGTAGCTAAAGTGGAAGGAAGAAATGAAGTCAAAGAGCTGAACAGAAGATTTCAAAGGGCAGCTTGAGAAGACAAAGTAAAGTATTATAATGAAATGTGCAAGACCTGGAGATAGAAAACCAAAAGGGAAGAACATGCTCAACATTTCTCAAGCTGAAAGAACTGAAGACAAAATTCAAGCCTTGAGTTGCAACACTGAAGGATTCTATGGGGAAAATATTAAACAACGCAGGAAGCAACAA